GACTTACATACAGATTCAACTTAAGAAACCCAGGCGTCCCCAAGTCAGCTGCTGCTGAAACTGATCAGCGGCTGATTCCAGGAAGCCCGGGGCAAAGCAGCTCTGCCTCGGGCTTCCTGTAGTCAGCCGCTGGTCAGTTTCAGCAGCAGCTGGATCGGGGACAGCTGGGGTACAATATGTACCAGTTCCGACTTACGTACAAATTCAACTTAAGAACAAACCTACAGTCCCTATCTTGTACGTAACCCGGGGACTGCCTGTACTCCAGAGATACTGAATCTAAAAAAGATTATACTGCTGTTGACACAACCAGAATGAGGGAATAAAAGTCACAAGGCATAAAGAAAGCTTTTGGATTCAGTGCAAGGATCCTTGCCTGGAAGCCACTGTTTCTTCATGTGAATGCTGTACGCCACTATCAAAGCCTTGTTCACGGCAATCCTGAAGCATTATTGTATTCTAATTTAAAAAGGTTCATAAAGTTTCCGTTAGACCTTTTTCTGGCACAGTACTTCACCTTGCCAAGACACATCAATGTTATCAATCACCTTCCTTGCCATAAGATCAATTTGTTTTGCTGCGGTAATGGTCCATAGCTTCTTCACAAGCTACTTAACACATGTACTCACACAAACATCTTCCTTGACATTTTCCAAAAAGCTCTACCAAAATAGAGGCAGTTACTGTTACGTTCAGTGAATAACTTATCCAAGAGCCCTGTTTGTAAGGAAGAGGGTAACTGAGATCAGATGCTCAAGAATGTTCCTCTAGTGCTGGGTTTCTGCATAAGCATCATGCTGGTTTTCTCCATCTATGTATTTATTCAGGGTGAGCCTGGATTTGACTGCCATCCATATGGAGCAAGCTGTAAAATGCCTACGTGACTTTTCATTTGCTTCAGAGCATCAGTTAAATTATGCCAGTAACTGTACGCAGAAAGCAAAGCAACAATTTGGCATTCTTGTCAAATATTTTGCAAAAAAACAGAACAAAATACTTAACATCAACTGACAAACTAATCAATGTTGATTCAGTTTCTAGGCATTCTCAAGTACTCTTTTGCAGTGGAAAGTGTTCTGCTCATTTACAAAAAATGTCATAGCCTCGATTTTGCTAGGCCTGTTCAAAATTGAATGATCAATATCTGCAGAATTTAGGATTGCTGTATCAATCTATGGTGTGAAATTTTTCTCATTGCTTTCTGTCATCATACAAGGCTAATTCTTCTTTATGGTTTCTCTCCTTTTCATGTAAAACAGATTTTTCTTTGTCATTACTCCACTTTTCATGTAAGTTACATTCTTCTTTATGATCACTCTCCTTTGCATTGCCTGGAAAATTGAATGACTATCCACCACTTTCCTCACATTTCCATTCCTTCTCTTCCAGTAAGTCTGCTAATTCCTTAGTAGTAGGACTTCTATCATTTACACTTTGCTCAACTTCTTCTGCATTGGGACAATCACTGATACCTAAAGCCTGTAATGTGTTGTTGTGTTTCAGGTATTTTCTCATCAGATTTGCCTCTTGCTAGGAACTATACTGCAATTGAGCTTTTTGTTGCCTATACTGAGCTCCTAAAGGCTTCTTCTGAGGCATCAAATATTTATTTTCTACAGGGAAAAAACAGACAGTCAGGAAAGCAAAAATTTTATGTTCTGCAGTCCTAGAAAGTAATTAAACATTACATGTGAAGCATAGCAAAAGTAGTAACAGTATTTCTTTTTATTGCTACATATATAGGGATTCAATAGGAATCTCTAAGTATGTCCTTTAGCATCCCTATTTACATTCTTCAAGGCTTAAAACACAAGTACAATTATATAATAAAACAAGGTTCACAAATACCACAGCTGGGCTCTGACTTTTCGCTCTTATATCTTACTGACTGGCAACACTCTCCCACCAATGGCTGACAACATTTTAGGCCCAGGATGTCCAACATGCTAGCTACTAGCCACGCGTGGCTTTTTGGCCAGTTGAGTGTGGCTACTTCACTACAGCTTCAGAACTGGTTGGACACCACAGTTCTAGGTGGTTGGAGGGAAATCTAATTCCCAGAACATGTGAAAGACTCCATGAGCTTCTACAAAGCCCCAGAACATTCTAGGAAGTTAAAATAAAAGGAAGTTTTTCTTCACTCAGCGCACAATTAACCTTTGGAACTTCTTACCAGAGGATGTGGTAAAGACTAGGACTTTAACAGGGTTCAGAAAAGAGCTAGATAGATTCATGGAGGTTAGGTTGTCTTCCTTTCCTCTGAGGCACCTGATATTGACCACTGTGGGGAAGACAGGATACTGGGCGAGATGGACTGTTGGTGTGACCCAGTATGGCCATTCTTATTTTAGCAAAAATAAAAGGAATCCACGCAGGAAATACCTGAAACACGCTCTGTCAAACATTTATTCCCCCTTTTGTCACTAACACAAACGCTACTCACTGCCCGGAAACCCCCCGGCACCGCATTGCAGGCGGTCACCTGCCCCTAAATCTGGCTTGGGGTCTAAGCAGCAATAGGAAAACTAACAGGGAAGAGGGCAGTTGGTTCCCTGGGCAACTGTGGAGAGCCCTGTGTGCGCTCAAGCGCTGGCTCTGCAAACAGGGCTGCAGTGAGCTACACCTGTTGGATTTGAGGAACCAGAGACGCAGGAAACTCCGCAGCTCTCAGCCCTTCAGGACGCAGGTCAGTGTTTGAGTTGCTTCCCCTCCCCCCCCATTCCAGGCAGGGGGAGGACCCCGATCCCAGCCTGGCCAGTGGCCCAGTCCCGCGCTGGTATTTCCCGCAGCAGCCCCCGCGCCAAGTATTCCGGCCCCGCGAGCGGCACCCCATCTCAC